GTGGGGTGATGGATAAGTGTGTGACACGTGTGGGGCGATGGATAAGAGTGTGACGCGTGTGGGGTGATGGATAAGAGTGTGACCGCGTGTGGGGTGATTGGATAAGTGTGTGACGCGTGTGGGGTGATGGATAAGAGTGTGACGCGTGTGGGGTGATGGATAAGAGTGTGACGCGTGTGGGGTGATGGATAAGAGTGTGACGCGTGTGGGGTGATGTATAAGAGTGTGACGCGTGTGGGGCGATGGATAAGAGTGTGACGCGTGTGGGGTGATGGATAAGAGTGTGACGCGTGTGGGGTGATGGTTAAGAGTGTGACGCATGTGGGGTGATGGATAAGTGTGTGACGCGTGTGGGGTGATGGTTAAGAGTGTGACGCGTGTGGGGTGATGGTTAAGAGTGTGACGCGTGTGGGGTGATGGTTAAGTGTGTGACGCGTGTGGGGTGATGGATAAGTGTGTGACGCGTGTGGGGCGATGGATAAGAGTGTGACGCGTGTGGGGGATGTAAGAGTGTGACGCGTGTGGGGGCGATGGATTAAGAGTGTGAGCGTGTGGGCGATGGATAAGAGTGTGACGCGTGTGGGGGTGATGGTTAAGAGGGTGACGCGTGTGGGTGATGGATAAGTGTATGACGCGTGTGGGTGATGGTTAAGAGTGTGACGCGTGTGGGGTGATGGATAAGAGTGTGACGCGTGTGGGGTGATGGTTAAGGGTGTTGACGCGTGTGGGGTGATGGATAAGAGTGTGACGCGTGTGGGGGTGATGGATAAGAGTGGTGACGCGTGTGGGGTGATGGATAAGTGTATGACAGCGTGTGGGGTGATGGTTAAGAGTGTGACGCGTGTGGGGTGATGTTAAGTGTGTGACGCGTGTGGGGTGATGGTTAAAGTGTGACGCGTGTGGGGGTGATGGATAAGATTGTGACGCGTGTGGGGTGATGATAAGTAGTGTGACGCGTGGTGGGTGATGGATAGATGTGTGACTCGTGTGGGTGACGGATAAGTAGGTACGCAGGGTGGGGGTGGATGGGTAAGTGTGTGACGCGGGTGGGGTGATGGTAAGAGTGTGGACGCGTGTGGGGTGATGGATAAGATTGTGACGCGTGTGGGGTGATGGATAAGTGTGTGACGCGTGTGGGGCGATGGATAAGAGTGTGACGCGTGTGGGGTGATGGATAAGAGTGTGACGCGTGTGGGGCGATGGTTAATAGTGTGACGCGTGTGGGGCGATGGATAAGAGTGTGACGCGTGTGGGGTGATGGTTAATAGTGTGACGCGTGTGGGGTGATGGATAAGTGTGTGACGCGTGTGGGGCGATGGATAAGAGTGTGACGCGTGTGGGGCGATGGTTAAGAGTGTGACGCGTGTGGGGTGATGGGTAAGTGTGTGACGCGTGTGGGGTGATGGATAAGAGTGTGACGCGTGTGGGGTGATGGATAAGTGTGTGACGCGTGTGGGGTGATGGATAAGAGTGTGACGCGTGTGGGGTGATGGTTAAGAGTGTGACGCGTGTGGGGTGATGGATAAGAGTGTGACGCGTGTGGGGTGATGGTTAAGAGTATGACGCGTGTGGGTGATGGTTAAAGAGTGTGACGCGTGTGGGGGTGATGGTTAAGAGTGTGACGCGTGTGGGGTGATGGTTAGAGTGTGACGCGTGTGGGGTGATGGATAAGAGTGTGACGCGTGTGGGGCTGATGGTATAAGAGTGTGACGCGTGTGGGGTGATGGATTAAGTAGTGTGACGCAGTGTGGGGTGATGGTTAAGAGTGTGACGCGTGTGGGGGTGATGGTTAAGAGTGTGACGCATGTGTGGGGTGATGGATAAGAGTGTGACGCGTGTGGGGTGATGGATAAGAGTGTGACGCGTGGTGGGGTGATGGATAAGAGTGTGACGCGTGTGGGGCTGATGGATGAAGAGTGTGACGCGTGTGGGGTGATGGATAAGATGTGTGACGCATGTGGGGTGATGGTTAAGAGTGTGACGCGTGTGGGGTGATGGAATAAGTGCTGTGACGCGTGTGGGGTGATGGATAAGAGTGTGACGCGTGTGGGGTGATGGATAAGTGTGTGACGCGTGTGGGGGCTGATGGATAAGAGTGTGACGCGTGTGGGGTGATGGATAAGAGTGTGACGCGTGTGGGGCGATGGATAAGAGTGTGACACGTGTGGGGTGATGGTTAATAGTGTGACGCGTGTGGGGCGATGGATAAGAGTGTGACGCGTGTGGGGTGATGGTTAATAGTGTGACGCGTGTGGGGTGATGGATAAGTGTGTGACGCGTGTGGGGCGATGGATAAGAGTGTGACGCGTGTGGGGTGATGGTTAAGAGTGTGACGCGTGTGGGGTGATGGGTAAGTGTGTGACGCGTGTGGGTGATGGATAAGAGTGTGACGCGTGTGGGGTGATGGATAAGTGTGTGACGCGTGTGGGGTGATGGATAAGAGTGTGACGCGTGTGGGGTGATGGTTAAGAGTGTGACGCGTGTGGGGTGATGGATAAGAGTGTGACGCGTGTGGGGTGATGGTTAAGAGTATGACGCGTGTGGGTGATGGTTAAGAGTGTGACGCGTGTGGGGTGATGGTTAAGAGTGTGACGCGTGTGGGGTGATGGTTAAGAGTGTGACGTGTGTGGGGTGATGGATAAGAGTGTGACGCGTGTGGGGTGATGGTTAAGAGTATGACGCGTGTGGGTGATGGTTAAGAGTGTGACGCGTGTGGGGTGATGGTTAAGAGTGTGACGCGTGTGGGGTGATGGTTAAGAGTGTGACGTGTGTGGGGTGATGGATAAGAGTGTGACGCGTGTGGGGTGATGGATAAGAGTGTGACGCGTGTGGGGTGATGGTTAAGAGTGTGACGCGTGTGGGGTGATGGTTGAGAGTGTGACGCGTGTGGGGTGATGGATAAGAGTGTGACGCGTGTGGGGTGATGGTTAAGAGTGTGACGCGTGTGGGGTGATGGATAAGTGTGTGACGCGTGTGGGGTGATGGATAAGAGTGTGACGCGTGTGGGGTGATGGATAAGTGTGTGACGCGTGTGGGGTGATGGATAAGAGTGTGACGCGTGTGGGGTGATGGATAAGTGTGTGACGCGTGTGGGGTGATGGATAAGAGTGTGACGCGTGTGGGGTGATGGTTAAGAGTGTGACGCGTGTGGGGTGATGGATAAGAGTGTGACGCGTGTGGGGTGATGGTTAAGAGTATGACACGTGTGGGTGATGGTTAAGAGTGTGACGCGTGTGGGGTGATGGTTAAGAGTGTGACGCGTGTGGGGTGATGGTTAAGAGTGTGACGCGTGTGGGGTGATGGATAAGAGTGTGACGCGTGTGGGGTGATGGATAAGAGTGTGACGCGTGTGGGGTGATGTATAAGAGTGTGACGCGTGTGGGGTGATGTATAAGAGTGTGACGCGTGTGGGGTGATGGTTAAGAGTGTGACGCGTGTGGGGTGATGTATAAGAGTGTGACGCGTGTGGGGTGATGGTTAAGAGTGTGACGCGTGTGGGGTGATGGTTAAGAGTGTGACGCGTGTGGGGTGATGGTTAATAGTGTGACGCGTGTGGGGTGATGGATAAGAGTGTGACGCGTGTGGGGTGATGGTTAATAGTGTGACGCGTGTGGGGTGATGGTTAAGAGTGTGACGCGTGTGGGGTGATGGTTAATAGTGTGACGCGTGTGGGGTGATGGTTAAGAGTGTGACGCGTGTGGGGTGATGGTTAATAGTGTGACGCGTGTGGGGTGATGGTTAAGAGTGTGACGCGTGTGGGGTGATGGTTAAGAGTGTGACGCGTGTGGGGTGATGGTTAAGAGTGTGACGCGTGTGGGGTGATGGATAAGAGTGTGACGCGTGTGGGGTGATGGTTAAGAGTGTGACGCGTGTGGGGTGATGGATAAGAGTGTGACGCGTGTGGGGTGATGGTTAAGAGTGTGACGCGTGTGGGGTGATGGATAAGAGTGTGACGCGTGTGGGGTGATGGATAAGAGTGTGACGCGTGTGGGGTGATGGTTAAGAGTGTGACACGTGTGGGGTGATGTATAAGAGTGTGACGCGTGTGGGGTGATGGATAAGAGTGTGACGCGTGTGGGGTGATGGATAAGAGTGTGACGCGTGTGGGGTGATGGTTAAGAGTGTGACGCGTGTGGGGTGATGGTTAAGAGTGTGACGCGTGTGGGGTGATGGTTAAGAGTGTGACGCGTGTGGGGTGATGGTTAAGTGTATGACGCGTGTGGGGTGATGGATAAGAGTGTGACGCGTGTTGGTGATGGATAAGAGTGTGACGCGTGTGGGGTGATGGTTAAGTGTATGACGCGTGTTGGTGATGGATAAGAGTGTGACGCGTGTTGGTGATGGTTAAGTGTATGACGCGTGTTGGTGATGGATAAGAGTGTGACGCGTGTTGGTGATGGTTAAGAGTGTGACGCGTGTGGGGTGATGGTTGAGCACGGTGGTGGATGAGACGGTCACGGTCGGTGTCTGGTGGAGACCAAGTCCCCAACACGGGTGGGGGAATCGGAATGAGCTTGACGTAGACAGTTACCGTGGCAGCAGTAGCAGCAGCAGTGAGTGAGTGAGCGAGCGGGCGAGCGAGTTGGTGGTAGAGCCAGTGGGTGAGTGGTCGAGCGAGCGGGTGGGTGAGTGAGTGGACAGCCGGGTGAGTGAGCGGACAGCCGGGGGAGTGAGCGGGCGAGCAGGTGGGTGAGCGCACGGGTGGGTGAGTGGGCGATCGAGTGGGTGGGTGGGTGAGTGGGCGGGCGGGCGAGTGGGCGGGTGAGCGGGTGGGCGAGTGGGTGGGCGAGCGGGTGGGTGAGTGGGTGAGCAGGCGGGTGGGTGAGCGGGTAAGCGGGTGGGTGGGCGAGCGGGTGGTTGAGCGGGTGGGCGAGTGGGTGGGCAAGTGGGCGGTTAAGCGAGTGCGTGCGGGTGGGCGGTTAAGCGAGTGCGTGCGGGTGGGCGAGCACGTGTGGAGGAACGGACGAGCGGAGTTGGCGCGACCGCGTGCCGCCCCGCAGGCGTTCATCGACGCCCAGAATGCGATCACGACGCCGTACATCGAGGGCACGCCCGTGCGCGAGAAGTTCAGCACCCGCATGACGGAGCTCTACGACTACCCCAAGTACAGCTGCCCCTTCAAGCGTGGAAACAGGTGATGACGACGATAATGATGACGACGATAATGATGACGACGAAGATGACGACGATGATGACGATGATGACGATGATGACGACGATGATGACGACGATGATGGCGACGATGATGGCGACGATGATGATGATGATGACGACGATGATGACGACGAATTTGCACGGCCAATGAAGAGATTTGATGTGATTTAACCGTTCAGTTACTCTGTCTTGACAGCTGATGAATTGCGGACCCAGCCACACAGACATAGATTAAAAAAACAAAGATAAAGATCCCCCATCTAGCCTTAATAAACTGTAGGGGCAAGTGCTGTTAGCGAGCACCTATAAAGGCCGGCACGGCACACGAGGGGGTGGGTGGCCAACGCCACACCCGGCCGCCTTTGTCTCCCCAGTGGCGATGTTTACACACCGCACCAGGTACTCATATGAGGGCTGAGTCGACCTAAGGGGAGGCATTGGACCGGTTCAGATAATCGTCACTGGTGTTGGCCGTGAGCGGGAATCGAACCCACCGCTCCCCACAAGACAGACAGACACGCATACATACAGAAAGTGACAAACTTAGAGACTGACGTACACACAGACTGACATACAGACACACTGACATGCATGCCTACAGACAGACGCTGACTGACATACAGACACAGAACAATCTCATGCGTTCACACATTCAATCTTATCTGGAAAGAGTTATTAAAGGCTCTGTGTGTACTTGTGTGTGCACGTGTGTGTTGGCTCAAGTGCTCGCTAACAGCACTTGCCCCAACAGTCTGTTCAGGCTGTACGGGGGATCTAATGTCTTTGGACTCAAGTGAGTACCTGGTGTGATTTGTAAAACAAAACATCGCCACTGGGGAGACAAAGGCGGCCGGGCGTGGTGCTGGCCACCCACCCCCTCGTGCACCGTTCCGGCCTTCATAGGTGCTACTCGCTGACAGCACTTGCCCCGATAGTCTGTTGAAGGCTACGCCTTTGTCGTGTGCGGTGTGCGCAGGTATTACTACTACCACAACACGGGGCTGCAGAACCAGAGCGTGATGTACGTGCAGGAGACGCTGGGCGGCGAGAGCTCCGTCTTCCTCGACCCCAACTCCCTCTCCGCAGATGGCACCGTCGCCCTGCAGGGTGAGACTCCGGCGCCCAGCGGCAATAGCAGCATTGACAGTAGCAGTGACAGTAGCAGGGACAGCAGCAGTGACAGTAGTAGCAGCAGCAGTGACAGTAGCAGCAGCAGTGACAACAGCAGTGATATCAGTGACAGTAGCAGCAGTAACAGCAGCAGCAGTGCTATCAGTGACAGCAGCAGAAGTGATATCAGTGACAGCAGCAGTGACAGGAGCAGCATTAACAGCAGCAGTGATATCAGTGACAGCAGCAGCATTAACAGCAGCTGTGTCAACAGCAGTGACAGCAGCAGCAGCAGTGACAGCAGCAGCATTAACAGCAGCAGTGATATCAGTTACAGCAGCAGCATTAACAGCAGCTGTGTCAACAGCAGCAGCAGTGACAGTATCAGTGATAGCAGCAGTAGCAGTGACAGTACCAGTGACAGTACCAGTGATAGGAGCAGTGACAGTACCAGTGATATCAGCAGTGACAGCAGCAGCAGTGACAGTACCAGTGCTAGTATCAGTGACAGCAGCAGCAGTGACAGTACCAGTAGCAGTGACAGTACCAGTGATAGCAGCAGCAGCAGTGACAGTACCAGTAGCAGTGACAGTACCAGTGACAGTACCAGAGATAGGAGCAGTACCAGTGATATCAGCAGTGACAGCAGCAGCAGTGACAGTACCAGTGACAGTACCAGTGACAGTACCAGTGATAGTATCAGTGATAGTACAAGTGATAGCAGCAGTGCTAGTATCAGTGACAGCAGCAGTGACAGCAGCAGCAGTGACAGCAGCAGCAGTGACAGTACCAGTGATAGTATCAGTGACAGCAACCGTTGCAGTGTGTGTGTGTATAATTGTGTACATGTGCATGGCACTCATACACAGGAGGCATCGCCCCCCCTACTGGCGTTAGACGAATTGGAGACTGACCACAGGCAAGGTGCTGAGTCACCTTGTGCTGCACAGAGACAGCTCCCACGGGGAGTGCCCCCTTTCAAATGTGATTTGACATGGGGTGCGATGTAAGGCACTGATCACGTGTAAATCTCTCCAGTGCAAAGGAGGGCGGCTCTGTCAAAAGCAAATAATGAAATAAAATTAAATTTCGATTTAAAGCTTTCGTGAAGCGCTGTCGTCCCGACAGTTCGGTTCCTTCACCTGAAGAAGGCTACTTGTGTTGTGGCTGAAACGTCATGATAATTTTATCGTCTTATTTAGTTGCATTGTTTTATTCTCATTCTACGTGACTTTACCGAAAGAACCAAGCAGATGAAATAATATTTTCATCCTAAAGGTTTTTTTGGGTTATACTGTGTAAAATATAAATGTGTCACGTTAACTCACTACCAACACCGCTGCCCGACACAGCCTATTAGGAGGGTTTGTTTAAATAAAATGTGCCAATTAGTGACTACTGCAGCGGCGTGTTGGAGAGTGAACCCACAACATTTACAATCCGAGTACAGTGACGTTTCCTATTTGTTTGTAAATGTGTGCCTATAATTGCGTGTGTACGAGCAACTGTCGATGGGAACATTTTTTTGCCGGTATTAAGATGATGAATAATTAGTAGCATTTACCCTTCCCGGCAGTAATAATAATAACTGCTCAACCCGAACTATTAACCCTTTTACATTCCGATAACGTCTGCAAGTGGCAGGGGGTGAATCTCGGAACGTGCGAGCGGCTCGGCGTTAATTTTATTTAGAGAGGCGGAGCAGCAGCAGCGCCGTTGTCTTTAACGACGTCGTGACTCACCGCACGGAACCGTAGCGACACGACCGCCACCACTCTACGATAGCTGGCGCCAAAACCGTGCCACACTCCCTCCCAAACCGTGCCACACTCCCTCCCAAACCGTGCCACACTCCCTCCCAGACCGTGCCACACTCCCTCCCAAACCGTGCCACACTCCCTCCCAAACCGTGCCACACTCCCTCCCAAACCGTGCCACACTCCCTCCCAAACCGTGCCACACTCCCTCCCAGACCGTGCCACACTCCCTCCCGCGTGGCATTGTGGGAGCATCGGTGCGTCTTCCGACCTGAAGTCGCGGCGATGAAGTTATTTTCGTTTTTCTTCCGATCCCGTCATGATGGCGTTACACCCAGCAGACAAGGCGGTCGGTCGGGCGTGGCGCTGGCCACGCTCCCCCTTGTTGTGTGCCCTAACGGCCTTCGCAGATGCTGCTTTTCTCTAACCGCACTTGGCCCCAACAGTCTGTTAAGTCCATGGGGTGGTGGTGGTGGTGGGGGGGGCATCTTCGTCTTTGCGGGCGCAGGTGCCGCGTTCTCCGAGTGCGGCTCCCTGTTCGCCTACGGCCTGAGCAGCGCCGGCTCCGACTGGGTGACGGTGAAGTTCCTGCGGGCCGGCACGGGCGAGCCGCTGGCCGACTCGCTGTCGCGCGTCAAGTTCACCTGCCTTGCCTGGACGCACGACGCGCGCGGCCTCTTCTACAACCAGTACCCCGAGAGCGACGGCCTCGGAGACGGTGAGTGCCGCCGCCACGGCCCAGCGGCGGCCGCCGACGCGGGGTTCAGGTTTTTCTGTGCGCGATCGGTGGGGCCCGGCGCGTTGTCGGCCGCTGTCGTTTGCGATGGCCGGGGTCGCTTCCGGAAAAGGAGCGGGCCTCGTCTGCGTACGTGCGTCGAAGTCTTCCCCCCGCAGCGGCGCGCGGCGCCCGATCGGAGGGTGCGTTGGCAGGGCGGCGAAGTAAACGCGTCAAAGCGTCTACAACCCGTACCCCGGCCTCGGTAGAGGGTGGGCTGCCCGGCGCGGGGCCCGCGAGGGCCCGCCAGGGGCCCACAGGGGCCCACGCCGCAGGGGTTTTTGCGATCGGTGGGCTTCCCCGCGCGGGTTCACGGTGAGGCCCTCGACGGGGAGGTCGAAGCCGGGCCCCTCGTTGTGGGCTGTTGTCGTTTGCGATGGCCGGGGTCGCTTCCGGAAAATAAGTTGATACCTCAGTGGACGTTACCTGGTATGATAAAAAAAAATAGTTTAGTTGTACTTGTGTATATATATTTTTGAAAGTTATTTGTTTACCTTTTCCTGCACCTTTTGAGGTCGACTCGGCCTCAAATGAGTACCTGGTGCGGTGTGTAAACGTCACCACTGGGGAGACAAAGGCGGCCGGGCGTGCTGCTGCCCACCCACCGCGCCCGTGTGCCGTGCCGGCCTTCGTAGGTGCTACTCGCTAACAGCACTTGTCCCTACAGTCTGTTACGGCTATACGGGGGATCTTTGTCTATGTATGTCTGCGTGTGTGTGTATGTGTACAGGCACTGAAACTAGTTGCAATCTGAACCAGAAGCTGTACTATCATGTGATCGGAACCGACCAATCACAGGACATCCTGTGCGCCGAATTTCCGGACAATCCAAAGTGGATGGGAGGAGCCAAGGCAAGAGACGCACACATACACACACACACATACACACGTACACATACACACACAACAACAACAACCGCCATTCGCCACTAAGTGGCGGTGACGTCACCACGACGCTTGTGCCAGGCCATGTGCACCTTGAGGCCACGTGAAGTGTCGAACGCCCGCTGGCAGGAGGTCACGGGGCAGACCCAAGTGCCACGGGTCGACTGACTAATATGACTGAGATGACTGGCTGATGCACCACCTGTGCCCCCTACTGTGCCAACCTGCTGTGCTTTAGCCACCCGGCGCTCCGCTCGTTGTGAGCGTCGCTCCTCCGTCCTCCGTTGTTGTTGGAGGGCGACTGCCTCCAACTGCCCAGTAGCGTCCTTCACGAGCCTGCTCCATAGAGGCCGATCTTGACACCGCTGGTACCAGTCATCGGCAAGTCCACTCAGCTCCACGTCCTCCTGTACCACATCACTCCATCTCTTCTCTAGCCCGTGCCGTGCCCGTTTAGCCCCCTCGATCCGGCCGAACAAAAGCTGCTTCGGCATGCGGTGGCTGGGCATGCGGGTTACATGACCCAGCCAACGCAGCCTGCCGGAGGAGCTCACCGATGGGACCTTGCCCAGATCTTTCAAGGATTTGTGAGCTCCTCACACAATCCAGCCTGGTTAAACCCAGGATGGATCGTAGGCAGGCTAGCCTACATGTTTCTAACCGGCGAAGATGTTCCATCAGGGGGGTCCACGTTTCGCAAGCGTAGAGAAGGGAGGGAATGACCGTGGTCGAGAAGGCCTGAAGCTTAGTGCGGAGCGACAGACCAGGTAGCTTCCACACAGCGTTACGCAACCGATGAAAAGATATTGCCGCTCGACTGATTCGGAGTGAGACCTCTGCTGTTAAACTGGAGCCGGTCATAAGCACACTGCCCAGGTATGGGAAACTCTCCACTCTCTCCACAACTGCCCCATCACCGATTGGGAGTTGTGGGGGTGGAGTGTCTGATGGTACAAAATACCCAGGCAGGTGCTTAGTTTTGGTGGGGCTGATGGAGCCCCGAGGGTAGAGATTCAATCTCCTGGCTCCGCCAATTGGGGTTTGGCCAGGAGACGTCATAGACGCCTGTCCCCCCGGGGCCTCTGGCACAAGCTTATTAGATACATTTTTTATTCGTGGTTTCGTGGTAAAAATGTTGAAGATGGAGGGGTTACCCGTTACCAGCCCCTCGCACCCATCCAGAGCCACCGTTTAGCCACTGTGGTGGTCACAGACGCCATGAGAGGAGGGGCCAATCGGAATTGTCCCTCCCCCCACAGCACTGTCCACGACAGAGTTTCCCGTCTGGCACCGCGAGGAGGTAGGGGGATGTTTTGCCGGACTACACACACACATACACACACATACACACATACACACACATACACGTACACACTCACACACACGTGCACACACCCACACACACACGTGCACACTCGCACACACACGTGCACACTCACACACACACACGTACACACTCACACATGCACACACACACACGTGCACACACACACAGCGTTGGTGTACGGTGCTTTTTTCAGGAATATTTTGCTGTTTTTTTCCACCGATTTTCTGTTTGCACAGTCACATAGTCACTTTAAGATGTTTTCTTGTTCGTGTTTTTGTTGTTTTGTTTGTTGTGGTTGCACCCGATTCAAGAGCCGAATGGCTCACAGGGCTATACCAAAATAAAGAAACTTAAACTGAAAACACACGTACACACTCACACACACACGTGAACACACACACACAAACACACTCACATACACACTCACACACAAACGTACACACTCGCACATACACGTATACACTCGCACATACACGTACACACAAACGTACACACTTGCACATACACACTCGCACATACACGTAAACACTCACACACACGTGCACACTCACACACACGTGCACACTCACGCACACACATGAACACACTCGCACATGTACACACTCACACACACTCACACACACGTACACATTCACACACGTACACACAAACTCGCACATACACACTCGCACATGCACACACGTACACATACACACAGGCACATACACACACGTACACGGCCAACACCAGTGACGCTCATCTAAACCGATCCTGGGCCTCAAATGAGTAGCACCTGGTGTAGCGGTGTGTAGTAAACATCGCCACTGGGGAAGACAAAGGCGGCCGGGCGTGGTGCTGGCCACCCACCCCCTCGTGCGCCACAGTGTCGGCCTTCGACAGTCTGCTGGAGGCTCCCTGGGGGACCTTTGTCCGTGTGCGTGCTCAGGTGTCGCACGACGGGCGCTACGTGCTGCTGTCGATCCGTGAGGGCTGCGACCCCGTGAACCGACTCTGGTACTGCGACCTCCAGGAGCTCACTGGCGGCATCACCGGTACCAGCGCCCCCCCCCCCACACACCCACTCGCCCCTCTCGCCCCTCTCATCCCTCGCCTCCTCGCCTCCTCCCCTTTCTCTCCCGTGTCTCTGCCCATTGTCTCCCTCCCGTCTCTCAAATCTCCAACGTCTCCATCTCTCTCTCGGCTCGCTCTCCCGTCTTGCCCACCGTGTGTACCCGCGTCTTCCCCACATCTCCATTTACGTGTGTCCCCATGTCTCTTCGTCGTATCTCCCCGTGGTGTCTTCCCGTGACGTGTTTCTCCATGTCTCTCCGTATCTCCCCGTCACGTTTCCCCATGGTGTCTCCCCGTGACATCCCCTCCGTGTCTCTCCGTGTCTCTCCGTGTCTCTCCATGTCTCCCCGTCATGTCTCCCCGTTGTGTCTCCCCGTGACATTCCCTCCGTGTCTCTCCGTGTCTCCCCGTGTCTCTCCATGTCTCCCCGTCACGTCTCCCTGTTGTCTCCCCATTGTGTCTCCCCATGACATCCCCTCCGTGTCTCTCCGTGTCTCTCCGTGTCTCTCCATGTCACCTCGTTGTGTCTCCCCGTCACGTCTCCCCGTTGTCTCCCCGTTGTGTCTCCCCATGACATCCCCTCCGTGTCTCTCCGTGTCTCTCCATGTCTCCCCGTTGTGTCTCCCCGTGACATCCCCTCCGTGTCTCTCCGTGTCTCCCCGTCACGTCTCCCCGTTGTGTCTCCCCGTGACATCCCCTCCGTGTCTCTCCGTGTCTCTCCGTGTCTCCCCGTGTCTCTCCATGTCTCCCCGTTGTGTCTCCCCGTCACGTCTCCCCGTTGTGTCTCCCCGTGACATCCCCTCCGTGTCTCTCCATGTCACCCCGTTGTGTCTCCCCGTCACGTCTCCCCGTTGTGTCTCCCCGTGACATTCCCTCCGTGTCTCTCCGTGTCTCCCCGTGTATCCCCGTCACGTCTCCCCGTTGTGTCTCCCCGTGACATTCCCTCCGTGTCTCTCTGTGTCTCTCCGTGTCTCCCCGTGTATCCCCGTCACGTCTCCCCGTTGTGTCTCCCCGTGACATTCCCTCCGTGTCTCTCCGTGTCTCTCCGTGTCTCCCCGTGTATCCCCGTCACGTCTCCCCGTTGTGTCTCCCCGTGACATCCCCTCCGTGTCTCTCCATATCTCCCCGTAACGCCACCCCTCCCCCCCACCCCCCCCCCCGTGCCCCACCCCCCGCCCAGGCCTGCTGCCGTGGGTGAAGCTGATTGACAACTTCGACGCGGAGTACGAGTACGTGACGAGCGAGGGCTCCGTGGTCACCTTCCGCACCAACCTGGAGGCGCCGCGCTACAAACTCATCACCGTCGACCTGGCCGACGCCGCCCCCGACCGCTGGGGTGCCCTCGTGGACCAGCACGAGCGCGACGTGCTGGGTGAGGCGCTGGCACGCACACACGCACGCACCACACCTGTGTAACCCCTTATCAGTGCCCTACCTTATTACAACACCAACTCAGACCTTATTGGTCACCCCGTGGCCCCATATAAATCTCAACGTTCGTCCTGCAAAGTCCCATCACAAGGGAGAAACACAAACAAATAGACAACACATTTTTTTTTATTTGTTGCTCGTATTGAAACGGCTGTACGCCGCATGGACCTAAAAACTCAATTTCCCTGTACAAAAATACGGAGTGAACCGTTATGGGTTTACAGCCATTACACACACACACGCACACATACAGGCACGCACACAGGCACACACGCGTGCGCGCGATGCGTGTGTGTGTAGGGGGAGCGGTAGTGTGCCGGCCTTCATAGGTGCTGCTCGCGAACAGCACTTGCCCCAAGTCTGTTGAGGCTACACGGGGATCTTTGTCTTTGTTCAGTCTTTGTGTGTGAAGTGCGTGCGTGTGATGCCTGCATGTACGTGTGACGTGCGTGTGCGCGTGACCCGTGTGCGATGCGTTTGCATGACGCGCGCATGCGTGTTTGCGATGCTTGGGTGATGCTCGTGCGTGTGTGACGTGCGTGCGTGTGTGACGTGCGTGTGTGACGTGCGTGACTTGTGTGTGTGTGTGACTTGTGTGTGTGTGTGAGACTTGTGTGTGTGTGTGACGTGTGTGTGTGTGTGACGTGCGTGTGTGACGTGCGTGACTTGTGTGTGTGTGTGACGTGCGTGTGTGACGTGCGTGCGTGACTTGTGTGTGTGTGTGTGTGACGTGCGTGCGTGTGTGACATGCGTGTATGACGTGCGTGTGTGACGTGCGTGCGTGACTTGTGTGTGTGTGACTTGTGTGTGTGTGTGTGACGCGCGTGCAGACTGGGCGGTGTGCGTGCGGGGCGACGTGCTGGTGCTGTGCTGGCTGCGCGACGTGGCGGGCGTGCTGGAGGCGCGTTCGGCGCGCGACGGCTCCCTGCTGGGGCCCTTCCCGCTGCCGCTCGGCTCCGTGCTGGGCTTCAGCGGCCGCAAGAACCAGACGGAGATCTTCTACCAGCACTCGTCCTTCCTGACGCCCGGTCTCTACGCTCGCTCACACGCACACTCGCTCGCTCACACGCACGCTCGCTCTCACGTACGCTCTCTCACATGCACGCTCTCTCACACGCACGCTCGCTCACACGCACGCTCTCACACGCACGCTCGCTCACACGCACGCTCTCACACGCACACTCGCTCGCTCACACGCACACACGCACACTCGCTCGCTCACACGCACGCTCTCTCACACGCACGCTCGCTCACACGCACGCTCACACGCACGCTCACACGCACGCTCGCTCACTCGCTCACACGCACGCTCGCTCGCTCACACGCACGCTCGCTCGCACGCTCGCTCACACGCTCGCTCACACGCTCGCTCACACGCACGCTCGCTCACACGCACGCTCGCTCACACGCACGCTCGCTCACACGCACGCTCTCTCACACGCACGCTCGCTCACACGCACGCTCTCACACGCTCACTCTCTCACACGCTCGCTCGCTCACACGCACGCTCGCTCGCACGCACGCTCGCTCGCACGCTCGCTCACACGCATGCTCGCTCACACGCACGCTCGCTCACACGCTCGCTCTCTCACTCGCTCACACGCACACTCGCTCGCTCACACGCTCGCTCGCTCACACGCACGCTCGCTCTCTCACACGCTCACTCACTCGCTCACACGCACACTTTTAGTAGGATGTCACGTGAAGTGTCGAAGGCTCGCTTGCTGGCAGGTCACGGGGACAGACACACGTGCCACGGGTCGACTGACTTGACATGATTGGCAGATGCACCAGCTATGCCCCCCCACCCCACTGTGCCAACTTGCCGTGTTTATCCGCCCGGCGCACCGCTCGTTGTTGTGAACATCGCTCCTCTACCCTCTGCTGTTGTTGGCGGGAGACTTCCTCCAGCTGCCCAGTAGCAATGCAGTCACTAATTCACGCACTCGCTCACTCACTCAGTCACCCACTTGTTCGCTCACTCGTCCATTCACACAATCATCCACTCACACTCAAACTCGCTCACATACCGACCCACGCACTTACCCAACCGCTCCTTTACAATCACTCACCAACTCACTCGCCTACTTACCCACTCACTTGCTTACTCCATCAACATCAAGTGGTTAGTGCTACGAACCTAGCGACCCGAGTTAAATTCCTGCTCACGACCACCACCAGTGACCATTATCTGAATCGGTCCTGAGCCTCCCCTGGGTCGACTCGGCCTCAAATGAGTACCTGGTGCGGTGTAGTAAACATCGCCACTGGGGAGACAAAGGCGGCCGGGCGTGGTGCTGGCCACCCACCCCCTCGTGTGCCGTGCCCGCCTTCATAGGTGCTGCTTGCTAACAGCACTTGCCCTGAGAGTCAGTTGAGGCTATAAGGCGAACCTTTGACTTTGCCCGTGCAGGTGTGATCTACAGGTGCGACCTCACCGAGGAGCCCTTCTCGCCAGAAGTTTATCGGACGACCAGCGTCAAGGGCTTCCGGCCCAGCGACTACGAGACCACACAGGTTCCCCCGCTCCCTCACCGTCTCTCTGTTTTCTCGCATCTCCGCGCGACTCCCCACTTCTCCGCGCGTTTTCCCGCTTCTCTCTGCATTCCCTCGCAGCTCCCCATTGCCCCCAGCGTCTCCCTGTGTCTCATGTCTCCCGAACTCTCCCCACTTCTCCCCGTGTGTCTCATCGCGTCTCCCCGTGTCTCACAGCGTCTCCCCACGTCTTCCCGTCTCTCCCCACCTCTCTCCACCGCTCCCCGCATCTCCCCATTTCCCCCGGGGTCTCACCGCATCTCCCTGCGTCTCCCCACCTCTCCCCACCGCTCCCCGTGTCTCCCCGTGTCTCATCCGCTTCCCCGCGTCTCCCCGTGTCTTCCCGTGTCTCATCACGCTTCCCCGCGTCTCCCCCAGGTGTTCTACACCAGCAAGGATGGAAGCCGGATCCCCATGTTCCTGGTGCACAAGAAGGGGATTGTGCTGGACGGCTCTCACCCCACGCTGCTCTACGGATACGGAGGCTTCAACATCTCCATCACGCCCACCTACAGGTTCGCGCCCACATGCCCAACGTCGTCGTCATCGTTTTTATAATTATCATTGTCGTCGTCGTCATAGTTGCCATCGTAGTCGTCGTCGGCATCGTCATCACCATTATCGTCGTCGTCATAGTTATCATTATCGTCATCATTGTCATCAATGTCATCGTCATTATCATCATCAGTCAGTCATCAATGTCGTCATCATTGTCATCAATGTCATCATCAGTCATCAATGTCATCGTCATTATCATCGTCATCAATGTCATCGTCATTATCATTGTCATCAATGTCATCGTCATTATCATCGTCATCAATGTCATCGTCATTATCATCATTACCGTCATCATCATCATAGTCATCATTGTCATCAATGTCATCGTCATCACGTGTGCGTGTCGTTGCCTTTTTTGCTGCCGACGTAAGTTTTGATTTCTGCTCACGGCCAACATCAGTGGCGTATATCCTTACTGGTCTTGCACCTTCTCACTGTTGACTAGGCCTTAAACGAGTACCTGGTGTGGTGTGCACACATCAGCACTGGGGATGCAACAACTTTGCCCCAACGGTGTGTTGAAGGCGACACGGGGAATCTTTGTGTGTGTGCGCGTGGGCAGTGTGTCCAGGTTGATCTTCATCCACCATCTGGGCGGGGTGCTGGCCGTCGCTAATCTACGGGGAGGGGGAGAGTACGGGGAGGAATGGCACAGAGGTAACACGGCTCACTCTCACTCTCTCGCTCGCTGTTACAGCCCACCACCCACACGCGTGTGTGAGTGTACGGGGTTGTGTGTATATGCGTGTGTGAGTGTACTGGGTTGTTTGTATATGCGTGAGTGTGCTGGGTTGTGTGTATATGCGTGTGTGAGTGTACTGGGTTGTGTGTATATGCGTGTTTGAGTGTACTGGGTTGTGTGTATATGCGTGTGAGTGTACTGGGTTGTGTATATGCGTGTGTTGGGTTGTGTGTATATGCGTGAGTGAGTGTACTGGGTTGTGTGTATATACGTGTGAGTGTGCTGGGTTGTGTGTATATGCGTGTGTGAGTGTACTGGGTTGTGTGTATATGCGTGTGTGAGTGTACTGGGTTGTGTGTATATGCGTGTGAGTGTACTGGGTTGTGTGTATATGCGTGTGTGAGTGTACTGGGTTGTGTGTATATCCGTGTGTGAGTGTACTGGGTTGTGTGTATATGCGTGTGTGTGCTGGGTTGTGTGTATATGCGTGTGTGAGTGTACTGGGTTGTGTGTATATGCGTGTGTGAGTGTGCTGGGTTGTGTGTATATGCGTGTGTGAGTGTACTGGGTTGTGTGTATATGCGTGTGTGAGTGTGCTGGGTTGTGTGTATATGCGTGTGAGTGTACTGGGTTGTGTGTATATGCGTGTGTGAGTGTGCTGGGTTGTGTGTATATGCGTGTGTGTGTGCTGGGTTGTGTGTATATGCGTGTGTGTGTGCTGGGTTGTGTGTATATGCGTGAGTGAGTGTACTGGGTTGTGTGTATATGCGTGAGTGAGTGTACTGGGTTGTGTGTATATGTGTGTGTGAGTGTACTGGGTTGTGTGTATATGCGTGTTTGAGTGTACTGGGTTGTGTATATGCGTGTGTGGGCTTGTGTGGTGCGTCCCCCGGGTCATCTCACTCGGGCAACCCATGGCACGTGGCTTTATCCTCTGACCTCCCAGCAGCAGTGAGCATTCCACACTTGAAGTGATGGCCTCAAAGTGCACCTAGCCTGGCACGAGGGCTGTGGTGATGTCACAGTCAGTGTCTCTTTGTGAGCGGTGGTGTAGCGGTTAGCACGCTGCGCTACGAACTCGGCGATCCGAGTTTGATTCTCGGTCAAGGCCAACAGCAGTGACGATTATCTGAACCGGTCCTGGGCCTCCCCTAGGTCGACTCAGCCTCAAATGAGTACCTCGTGCGGCGTGTAAACAACGCCACTGGGGAGACAAAGGCGGCCGGGCGTGGTTGTTGGCCTCCCATCCCCCTCGTGTGCCACAGTGCCGGCCTTCGTAGGCGCTACTCGCTAACAGCACTTGCCCCAACAGTCTGTTAAGGCTACACGGGGGGACCTTTGTCTTTTGTGCGTGATGCAGCTGGGATGCTGAGCAGGAAGCAGAATGTGTTTGACGACTTCGTGTCGGCGGCCGAGTTCCTGATCGCAGAGAAATACACGCGACCGGACAAACTCGTCATCCAGGGCGCGTCCAACGGCGGCCTGCTCGTGGGTACGCACACACGCACGCGCGCACGCGCAGGCAAAGCCCCCCATGAATGCCGGCACGGAGCGGCAGCTACGAGCTACGACGGGCTGGTGTGGCCAGAGCCACGCCCCGGCCGCCTCTGTCTCTCCAGTGCTGATGTTCACCACCAAACTAGCGTCTCTCTAAAACTATACTAAAGTGTGTTTTTACCAGGTAAGCCCCCACTGAGCTGTGTAGCTCTTTTTCAGTAGCGAGCTAGCGATCATGAATGGTCACTAAACGAAGTGGCTTATCATCGCCACGTGTAAATGTACAGCAGCAGCAGAATAACTCTCTAAACGCGTGGCGACGTTGATTCTAAATGTGGAGGGAAAAACCTGGGGACCCGGAGAAAAAATCCACGCGACCACGGGGAGATACGCAAACTCCCAAATATACAGCAGCAGCAGGCGTCAGGGTCGGGATATAGCCCACAACCTCTTGTATACCAGGCGAGGGAGTTAACATCTCCTAGCCACCGTGATGATGATGAGAGAGACACGCAAACTCCCAAATATACAGCAGCAGGCATCAGGGTCGGGATAGAGCCCACGACCTCCTGTACTCCAGGAGAGGCAGTTAACATCTCGCCGCCACGGCGCCTCTCGCTGACCACTCGCCAACAACTCGCCAAACGCTCGCCGCTCGTTCACGCCGCACTGCCTCCCTCGCCACACTGGCCGCTGCAAACTCGCTCGCCCACAAGAGAGCACCTCGCCCACAAGAGAGCACCTCGCCCAGGTGTCCTACGCACCGCGGCGCCACGTGCTCGTTACGGGCTGAGTGGACATCGTCGCCGGTGGTGGTGGCGGTGGCCGTGAGCGGGAATCGTACTTGGGCCGCTGGGTTCGTAAGCGCGCCGCGCCAATTAATCGGTGCGCCAACGGTCCTCGTCAATAGACGCACACACGCACGCTAAACAACGGTCAAAATAGACACCCCACTTGTAGCCTTAACAGACTGTCGCGGCAAGTGCTGTTCACGAGTACACGTGTGTTAATGTGTACACGTGTGCGCATTGCGGCTTGTGTGTTAATGTGTGTTAATGTGTACTCGTGCGTGAACGTAGCGGCGTGCGTGAACCAGCGGCCCGAGCTGTTTGGTTGCGCGCTGGCCGAGGTGGGGGTGATGGACATGCTCAAGTTCCACACCTTCACCATCGGGCACGCGTGGACCACCGAGTACGGCAGCGCCGACGACCGTGAGCAGTTCCAGTGGCTCATCAAGTGAGCGCCAGCGCACCCACCCACACGCTCACCCGCTCACCCACCCACACGCTCACCCACCCACCCGCTCACCCGCCCACCCGCTCACCCGCCCACCCAACCGCTCACCCGCCCACCCAACCGCTCACCCGCCCACCCAACCGCTCACCCACCCGCTCGCCCACCCGCTCACCTGCCCACCCAACCGCTCACCCGCCCACCCAACCGCTCACCCGCCCACCCACACGCTCACCCACTCACCCACTCACCCACTCACCCGCCCACCCAACCGCTCACCCGCCCACCCAACCGCTCACCCACCCGCTCGCCCACCCGCTCACCCGCCCACCCGCCCACGCGCTCACCCGCCCACCCGCCCACGCGCCCAGACACTCTCACCCACCCACCCGCCAGCCCTCCCAAACACACACCGACCCACCCACACACCCACCACGCCAGGTACTCATTTGAAGTTAAGCCGATTTGGGACCGGTTCAGATAATTGTCAGTGTTGTTGACCGTGAGCGGGAATAGAACTCGGGTCGTCGGGTTCGTAGTGAAGCGCGCCAAGCACTGCACCACCGCTCCCCATATACACAGGTACACACGCACGCAGAGAGACGTAGACCGGTGTTGCATGCACCGTACGTAGCCAACCGCGCCAACGCTCACTCCTGGTGACTGACCACAACCAACCCACACCCCCCGTACCCCCCTCCCCCCCGGTGTCCCCCTCCTCGTGCCCCCCTCCCGTGCCCCCCCCCCGTGCCCCCCCCCCCCCACCCCCCACCCCCCGTAGGTACTCCCCGCTCCACAACGTGCGAGCGGGCGTGCGCTACCCGGCCATGCTGCTGCTGACGGCCGACCACGACGACCGCGTGTCCCCCCTGCACTCGCTCAAGCTGCTCGCGACGCTGCAGGCCGCCGCCGCCGCCACCGCCGCCGACGCCGCCGACGCCGCCGGCGGCGGCGCCGGGCGGGCGGCGCAGCCCATCCTGCTGCGGTGCGACACCAAGGCCGGCCACGGCTCGGGGAAGCCCACGGCCAAAGTGATCGCGGAGGCGGCCGACGCGTTCTCGTTCGCGGCGCGGGCGCTCGGCCTGAGCTGGCGCGAGTGACGGTGCTGGCGGTGATGATGGCGGCGGTGGGAGAGGAACGGAGACGAGGAGGAGGAGGAGGAGGAGGAGGGGGGGGGTAGAGCGGAGGTCGGAGGAGGAGATGGAGAGGGGTTGATGGGACAGTGGTGCTGTCGGGGACGCGTGGAGAACCACAAACTCGTGACCGAACCACAGTCCCAAACCCTCCCTGCCGCCCCCCCCCCAGCCCCGCACCCCCCGCACCCCCCCTACCCCTCCCCCGGCCCCCCCCCCCCCCAGTCGCAGCCAATTCCGTTTGCGAAACCAGTGCCCCGCGCGGAGTCCATCGGCCTGGCAGCTCCCGCCGTGCGTCATACCGTGCGTCACACTGCGTGTCACACCGTGCGTCACACTGTGTAACACGATGCGTCACACCGCCGTTTCACACTGCGCCACACCACGTGTCACACCGCGCGTCACACCACGTGTCACACCGCGCGTCACGCCATGTGTCACACCGCGCGTCACGCCATGTGTCACACCGCGCGTGGACGTGGGGGGAGGAGGGCTACGATTCCCTGGGGAGGCCTGTGGCCCAGCGGCCCAGCTCCCAAGCGCCCCAGCGGCCCCGTGTTTCGGTGGCCCCACGGCCCCGTGACCCAGCGGCCCAGCGGCCCCGTGGCGGGCGGGCGGCCGGTGCGGAGCGCGATCGGCGGGCGGCTCGCACGCTGACGCCCAATTCAGTTTTGCCAATTTTACCGTAAAAACGGTGGCCGTGGCGGGGGATGGGGGGGTTGGAGTTGTAGTGTCGTCGCTGTCAATTTATCGAACAAAATTGAGTTTACTACAACAACTAATAATAATAATAATTGTCCTCGTAACAACTTGGGGCACAGGTGTGGCGAGTTCTTTTTGTCCGAAACGCGAGTCGCTTCATCGTCAGCGGCCGTGAGCTCTTCCACTGCTGGATGGAGGCCTCCGAATTCCGCAAGGCGTCGCCGCCGCGTCTCCCTCTCGCGTGTGCACGCGACGGCTCCCTCTAGCCCCAGTGGTCCTTCAACTTTTCTGCAGCCTTTCGCACCCCTTTGGTTCTCAGTCGTTACATTTCTTTTTTTAACAATATCCATAAACACGTGGGGCCTTGATGAAACAAAGTAAGTTGTTACTGAACGTGCCCCGTGCTTAATTTGTGTTTTTGATGATTACCTGAAACAAAATCTGGCCGTGTCTCACACACCCCCCCCCCCCACCCCCCCCCCCCCCCCCCCCAGAAAGTGCATGTCCAAGGGATGTGTGGATGCACCCCAGGTTAAGAACCACTGCTCTAGCCCCCCTGGGTGCGTTCCCTCCTGGGGGGGGCCTTCATCGTCATCATGTGATGGCGATGATGTCTCTACCCTACGTGTGTCCTATACTCCACGTGCTCCTCAGTCTGATCACCATCACCGTGGTATATCCACTGCTGGATGAAGATCGGCGTACTATAATTCCGAGCGTGCGTCATTCCACGCTGTTTTGCACACTTTAACACAAAAAATATCGCGGGGGGTTCTCCATCCAGCAGTGGATACGGTCACAACTGGCGATGATGAATAGCCAGCCGTGCTGCTGAGAGGTTGTAGTTGTGAGACGAGGTCGTGGGGTTGTGACGAGGTCGTGGGGTTGTGACGAGGTGAGGAGTCGTCCCTTATGGTGATCGTCGCACTGTCACGGCAATGCCACTAGAGGTCGCTCCACCCTCTCCACCACTGGAGGTCGCTCCACCCTCTCCACCACTGGAGGTCGCTCCACCCTCTCCACCACTGGAGGTCGCTCCACCCTCTCCACCACTGGAGGTCGCTCCACCCTCTCCACCACGAGAGGTCGCTCCACCACTGGAGGGGGCCCCACCCTCTCCACCACGAGAGGTCGCTCCACCCTCTCCACCACTAGAGGCCGCTCCACCCTCCCGGCCCCACGTGTTTAGATCAGAACCCAGGCAGGAGCGGTTGAAGTTAAAAAAGAAGCACACTTTATTGATGATGCAGCGATGGGTTTTCTTTTTTGTACAGCCGTTGGCAGCGGGGCTGAGACATCGGGCTTCCCGACCTGTGACAACGTGGTCCGATCACGGCCCAGTGTCACTCGGGCGCTCCGTGCGAGGGGTCCACGGATCTCCACGCGAGTCCCTGGGTCCCCGGCGTGAATCCGGGGCTTTACGCTCGACGAGTCCGCGGGTCTCTGGCGCGAGTCGCCGGTGACGCCATCAACTTTTGCGGCGCTTGAGAACCCGCTGTGATCGCTGTGGTTGGGCGGCTGGACCCCGGGATGCGAACCCAAGGTTAGGGGCGGCGTGCCCCGGGTCGCACGTTGTGACGTCCGTATTGGTGCCGGGGGCGGGGCTACTCGTCTGTCGGGCTCCCAACAGCCCCAGCTGCCACTGTAGACACGCGCACACACATACAGACGCGCACACGAGCGGATTGTGAATTCACATGCAGAACGCTTTGTCTCATCCACAGTGTGTTCAACCATCACCCTGCACGTCACAACAACGCACTCGCTCACCCACCGAACATTCCACTCGCTCACCCACTCGCTCATCGCCACACTCGCCTAATCGGCCACCCACTCAATTGCCACCCTGCACGTCACAACAACCCACTCGCTCACCCACTCACAACTCTTCCACTCGCTCACCCACTCACCCGTCGACTCACTCACCAAAACACTTGCTCACCCACTCACCACACACAGCAAAGACAAAGATACTTTATGTAGTCTGCACGCTCTTGGGTAAAGTGCACCTATTGAGGCCATGACAACAAACAAGGTGGTTGGTGGTGGTGTGGCAATTGCTGAGCAGTCAAAATCCCACCCGCCTTTATCTTCCCAAGTGTTGACGTATGCATGTATGCTGAACTTCTTTCACACCCTACGGAGCCAACCTTGCTAAGCGGACGTGACGTACACAACAGACAAAGATCCCCCGTATAGCCCGAACAGACTGTTGGGGGCAAGTGCTGTTAGCGAGCACCTATGAAGAGTGGGTGGGTGGCCAGCACCACGCCCGATGTTTACACCACACCAGGTACTCATGAGGCTGAGTCGACCTAGGAGAGGTCCAGGACCGGTTCAGATAATCGTCACCGGTGTTGGCCGTGAGCGGGAATCCAACTCGGGTGGCTGGGTTTGCACTGGAGCGTAGCGCAAACTGCTCCGCTACCGTACACGCTCATGCACACACAAACACACACGCCTCTCACAATCATAGCAAAAACACTCACGCACACACCTCACAAACACTGAAACCTTCGCAAACACCCGCCATCACTCGGCTGTCGTCACGAGTTTTGATGTCACGTGTTTGAGTTAAGTCAGAAGTCGTGTCATGCCGCTAGTGGTACCGCAGACGAGGCGTTAGTCGCCCCACTAGTCGCGTGGTGCCGTTAGCCGTGCTGTTTGTTGGGTCGTGCCGTTAGTCGTGCCGCTAGTTGCCCTGCTTAGTCGCGCTGCTAGTCTCGTCGCCCCGCTAGTCTCGTCGCCCAACTAGTCGCCCTGCGAGTCGCCCCGCTAGTCACCCGCTAGTCACGTCACCCCGCTAGTCGCTCACCTAGTCGCCCCGCCCCACTAGTCGCCCCGCTAGTCACGTCACCCCGCTAGTCACGTCGCCCTGCGAGTCGCCCCGCTAGTTGCCCCGCTAGTCGCCCCACTAGTCGCCCCGCTAGTTGCCCCGCTAGTCGCCCCACTAGTTGCCCCGCTAGTCGCCCCGCTAGTCGCCCCACTAGTTGCCCCGCTAGTCGCCCCGCTAGTTGCCCCGCTAGTCGCCCCACTAGTTGCCCCGCTAGTCGCCCCGCTAGTTGCCCCGCTAGTCGCCCCACTAGTCGCCCACCTAGTCGCGCCGCTAGTCTCCCCACTAGTCGCCCCGCTAGTCACCCGCTAGTCACGTCACCCCGCTAGTCACGTCGCCCTGCGAGTCGCCACGCTAGTTGCCCCGCTAGTCGCCCCACTAGTCGCCCCCCTAGTCGCGCCGACCGCTAGTCGCCCCGCTAGTCTCATCGCCCCCCTAGTCGCGCCCCCAGTGGTACCACAGGCGAGCAGGATGGCGACGAGCATGAGCACGGCGCCCACGACCGGCGCCCACTGCTGCAGCGCCTCCGGATCCCAGTCCCCCGGCTGGAACCCGGGCAGCAGCGGCAGAGCCTGGCCCCCTCCTGCGGCGCACGGGGGTCACGGGGGGGGGGGCCGCGTCACAGACCCGCGGGGCCCGGGTTCGAGCCGTCTGGGCGTCTCCACTGGCGGGCTCGCAGTGGCTGCGTCAGAGCTGCGGAGCCGAGGGCCTGGGTTCGAGGCCGGGGGGGGTCTGGGTGTCCCGTCTCTCGATGGGTTCACAAATGGCCGCGTCAAGAGCTCACGCTGCCAATATCCTTTGGGACTGGGCCCAACTGACGCAATAACGGCGAGCCAACTGGGCAGCCTGGCACTGTTACTGCCCGGGGCTCAGAGCCAGGCACGCCGAGGGTTCTCATGGTCACTGTTAATATGCGAGACTCACAGAGCCAGACTCAGGCACGCCGAGGGTTCTCATCGTCACTGTTAATATCCGAGACTCACAGAGCCAGACTCAGGCACGCCGAGGGTTCTCATCGTCACTGTTAATATCCGAGACTCACAGAGCCAGACTCAGGCACGCCGAGGGTTCTCATCGTCACTGTTAATATCCGAGACTCACAGAGCCAGACCCAGGCACGCCGAGGGTTCTCATGGTCACTGTTAATATCCGAGACTCACAGAGCCAGAGCCAGACACGCCGAGGGTTCTCATCGTCACTGTTAATATCCCGAGACCCAGGCACGCCGAGGGTTCTCATGGTCACTGTTAATATCCGAGGCTCACAGAGCCAGACCCAGGCACGCCGAGGGTTCTCATGGTCACTGTTAATATCCGAGACTCACAGAGCCAGACACGCCGAGGGTTCTCATGGTCACTGTTAATATCCCGAGACTCACAGAGCCAGAGCCAGACACGCTGAGGGTTCTCATGGTCACTGTTAATATCCGAGGCTCACAGAGCCAGACCCAGGCACGCCGAGGGTTCTCATGGTCACTGTTAATATCCCGAGACTCACAGAGCCAGATCCAGGCACGCCGAGGGTTCTCATGGTCACTGTTAATATCCGAGGCTCACAGAGCCAGACCCAGGCACGCCGAGGGTTCTCATGGTCACTGTTAATATCCGAGACTCACAGAGCCAGACACGCCGAGGGTTCTCATGGTCACTGTTAATATCCCGAGACTCACAGAGCCAGAGCCAGACACGCTGAGGGTTCTCATGGTCACTGTTAATATCCGAGGCTCACAGAGCCAGACCCAGGCACGCCGAGGGTTCTCATGGTCACTGTTAATATCCCGAGACTCACAGAGCCAGATCCAGGCACGCCGAGGGTTCTCATGGTCACTGTTAATATCCGAGGCTCACAGAGCCAGAGCAAGGCACGCCGGGGGTTCTCATCGTCACTGTTAATAGCCGAGGCTCATAGAGCCAGACACGCTGAGGATTCTCATGGTTCAATACGATTCCCTGAATCTCGAAATGGCATAGCCACAGGCACGAGATGCTTGGCGTCGCCCAAATCGTAACTTATTTCCCCAGGGAAGCCTCGCTCACTCTCAATATTCCTTTGTTTAAATTAATCAATCAGGATCACACGAAGCAGCAGTAGCAGCGTCCACCCCCCCCCCCGCCCCCCGATTATCAAAATCTGGCAGCACGCTCCGGCAAAGGAGTCCTGAGGCTCGGTGAGGCTTCCCTGGGTAACGAAGCAGAATAATCCTGTTCGGCTGCGAGCGAACCGAGTGCTCCTCCCCAGTGGCGGTTTGGCCCGGCCTAGCGTCGAGCAGGGCCCTCTGCTTTACCTGCGAGGGCCGAACACACGAGGAACGGGCTGAGCATCTTGCCTCCAGCTTGACCAACGGCGTTCAGCTAGGGCTGGCGTGCCAACAGGATGCGGCGACGTCACCTTAAAGCGGCGACGTCACCTTACAGCGGCGACGTCAGCTTACAGCGGCGACGTCAGCTTACAGCGGCGACGTCACTCACAGCAGCGACGTCACTTGGCATCATTGCCTATTGACAGTCAACACTTAACATTCAGTATGACACCATTACCTGTTCACATGTCACTATGACATCATAGCTATTACCTGTTTCACGTCACTATGACATAATAGCTATTACCTGTTCACATGTCACTATGACATCATAGCTATTACCTGTTCACATGTCACTATGACATAATAGCTATTACCTGTTCGCATGTCACTATGACATCATAGCTATTACCTGTTCACGTCACTATGACATCATAGCTATTACCTGTTCACATGTCACTATGACATCATAGCTATTACCTGTTCACATGTCACTATGACATCATAGCTATTACCTGTTCACATGTCACTATGACATCATAGCTATTACCTGTTCACATGTCACTATGACATCATAGCTATTACCTGTTCACATGTCACTATGACATCATAGCTATTACCTGTTCACATGTCACTATGACATCATAGCTATTTCCTATTCACAGCCACTATGACATCATAGCTATTACCTGGTCACATCACTATGACATCATAGCTATTACCTGCTCACATGTCACTATGACATCATAGCTATTACCTGTTCACATGTCACTATGACATCATAGCTATTACCTGTTCACAGTCACTATGGCATCATAGCTATTACCTGTTCACAGCCACTATGACATCATAGCTATTCCCTGTTCACAGTCACTATGACATAGCTATTACCTGTTCACAGCCACTATAACATCATAGCTATTACCTGTGCACATGTCACTATGACATCATAGCTATTACCTGTTCACATGTCACTATGACATCATAGCTATTACCTGTTCACATGTCACTATGACATCATAGCTATTACCTGTTCACAGCCACTGACATCATAGCTATTACCTGTTCACATGTCACTATGACATAATAGCTATTACCTGTTCGCATGTCACAATTACATCATAGCTATTACCTGTTCACGTCACTATGACATCATAGCTATTACCTGTTCACGTCACTATGACATCATAGCTATTACCTGTTCACATGTCACTATGACATCATAGCTATTACCTGTTCACATGTCACTATGACATCATAGCTATTACCTGTTCACATGTCACTATGACATCATAGCTATTACCTGTTCACAGCCACTATGACATCATAGCTATTACCTGTTCACATGTCACTATGACATAGCTATTACCTGTTCACATGTCACTATGACATCATAGCTATTACCTGTTCACATGTCACTATGACATCATAGCTATTTTCTATTCACAGCCACTATGACATCATAGCTATTACCTGGTCACATCACTATGACATCATAGCTATTACCTGTTCACATGTCACTGACATCATAGCTATTACCTGTTCACGTCACTATGACATCATAGCTATTACCTGTTCACAGTCACTATGGCATCATAGCTATTACCTGTTCACAGCCACTAAGACATCATAGCTATTCCCTGTTCAGTCACTATGACATAGCTATTACCTGTTCACAGCCACTATAACATCATAGCTATTACCTGTGCACATGTCACTATGACATCATAGCTATTACCTGTTCACATGTCACTATGACATCATAGCTATTACCTGTTCACATGTCACTATGACATCATAGCTATTACCTGTTCACAGCCACTATGACATCATAGCTATTACCTGTTCACATGTCACTATGACATCATAGCTATTACCTGTTCACATGTCACTATGACATCATAGCTATTACCTATTCACAGCCACTATGACATCATAGCTATTACCTGTTCACATGTCACTATGACATCATAGCTATTACCTGTTCACATGTCACTATGACATCATAGCTATTACCTGTTCACGTCACTATGACATAGCTATTACCTGTTCACATGTCACTATGACATCATAGCTATTACCTGTTCACAGTCACTATGGCATCATAGCTATTACCTGTTCACAGCCACTATGACATCATAGCTATTCCCTGTTCACAGTCACTATGACATCATAGCTATTACCTGTTCACAGCCACTATGACATCATAGCTATTACCTGTTCGCATGTCACTATAACATCATAGCTATTACCTGTTCGCAGGTCACTATGACATCATAGCTATTACCTGTTCGCATGTCACTATGACATCATAGCTATTACCTGTTCACATGTCACTATGACATCATAGCTATTACCTGTTCACATGTCACTATGACATCATAGCTATTACCTGTTCACAGTCACTATGACATCATAGCTATTACCTGTTCACAGTCACTATGGCATCATAGCTATTACCTGTTCACAGCCACTATGACATCATAGCTATTCCCTGTTCACAGCCACTATGACATCATAGCTTTTACCTGTTCGCATGTCACTATGACATCATAGCTATTACCTGTTCACATGCCACTGACATCATAGCTATTACCTGTTCACATGTCACTATGACATCATAGCTATTACCTGTTCACATGTCACTATGACATCATAGCTATTACCTATTCACAGCCACTGACATGGCTATTACCTGTTCACATGTCACTATGACATCATAGCTATTACCTGTTCACATGTCACTATGACATCATAGCTATTACCTGTTCACAGTCACTATGGCATCATAGCTATTACCTGTTCACAGCCACTGACATCATAGCTATTCTCTGTTCACAGTCACTATGACATCATAGCTATTACCTGTTCACAGCCACTATGACATCATAGCTATTACCTGTCACGTCACTATGGCATTATAGCTATTACCTGTTCACATGTCACTATGACATCATAGCCGACTAACACCATAGCCACTTAAGAATGAGCATTGTGTTGTAATCCACTGACAGTCCGTATGGCTATTGACATCTTAACGACCGAACATCGTCACCAGTTCCACAGTACCATCACCACCATCACCACCATCACCACCATCGCCACCATCACCACCAACCATCATCACCATCATCACCACCATCACCATCTCACCATCATCACCACCTCCACCATCATCACCACCAACCCCCTCCACCATCACCACCATCACCACCATCACCACCATCAACCACCTCCACCATCCCCACCCACCACCATCACCACCAACCACCATAACCACCAACATCACCATCAACATCACCACCTACCACCTCCACCATCACCACCATCAACCACCTCCACCATCATCACCACCCACAACCTCCACCATCACCACCATCACCACCAACCACCTCCACCACCATCAACCACCTCCACCATCCCTTACCACCACCAACCACCTCCACCCACCACCTCCACCATCACTACCATCACCACCATCACCATCCCCACCCATCAACTCCACCATCACTACCATCAACACCATCACCACCATCACCACCATGCCCACCCATCACCATCAACCACCCACCATCAACCACCTCCACCATCCCTAACCACCACCCACCACCTCCTCCACCCACCACCAACCACCTCCACCATCCCTAACCACCACCCACCTCCTCCACCCACCACCTCCACCATCACTACCATCACCACCACCATCACCAACCATCCCCACCCACCACCTCCACCACCATCACCATGCCCACCCATCACCATCAACCACCACCATCAACCACCTCCACCATCCCTAACCACCATCAACAACCTCTACCATCCCTAACCACCACCCACCACCTCCTCCACCCACCACCAACCACCTCCACCATCACCACCTCCACCATCCCTAACCACCACCCACCACCTCCTCCACCCACCACCAACCACCTCCACCATCACCACCAACCACCTCCACCATCCCTAACCACCACCCACCTCCTCCACCCACCACCTCCACCATCACTACCATCACCACCACCATCACCAACCATCCCCACCCACCACCTCCACCACCATCACCATGCCCACCCATCACCATCAACCACCACCATCAACCACCTCCACCATCCCTAACCACCATCAACAACCTCTACCATCCCTAACCACCACCCACCACCTCCTCCACCCACCACCAACCACCTCCACCACCGCCCCCCCCCACCCGCCCGTGCCTCAGTGTGGCGGCGTGCGCGTGGCCGCGTGGCCGCCGGGCCCTCCCGCGTTGGCGCCGTGGCCGTCGAGCGCCAGCGGGTAGTTGGCGAAGCAGAGGAACTCGTTGGCGAGGCGGTGCTGGTGCCGCGGCACGAAGCGGCAGGGGTGCACGCCCAGCTCGCGGGCCGCCACGTCGCTCATCACCGCTCCTGCGGGGCGCGCGCCCAGGGGAAGATCAGTGTGTGTGCGTGTGTGTACGTGTGTGCGTGTGTGTGTGTGTGTGCGTGCGTGTGTGCGTGTTTGTGCGTGCGTGTGTGTGTGCGTGTGTGCGTGCGCGTGTGTGCGCGCGTGTGTGTGCGTGTGTGTGTGTGTGTACGTGTGTGCGTGCGCGCGCGTGTGTACGTTGCCCCACTTAGTGGTAAATGGCGGTAGTTGGCTGTTGGTTAGTGTGTGCGTGTGCATGTGTGCGTGCGTGTGTGCGTGTGTGCGTGCGTGTGTGCGTGTGTGCGTGCGTGTGCGTGTGTGCGTGCGTGTGCGTGCGTGCGTGCGCGCACATGCCTGTGCACAGCACGATCCTGTCCCTGGCCAGGAAGCGCGCGGTCACCGCCACCTTCTCCAGACACTCGGCCGAGAGGTACGGGGGATCCAGGAGCACCAGCGAGAAGCCGTGCTCGTCCAGCAGCGGAGAGGACGAGCGGGAGGAGGAGGAACCGGACCCCCCGCCGTCTCCTCGTGCCCCCGCGAGGTCGAGCGGCCTCCGATAGTCGTAACGAACGAACGAGTCTCCGGCCAGAGCCGCGAATCTCTCGTCAAACTCCAGCAGCACGTCCCGGGCCGCCGCCACTCGCGGGCCCTCCGGGGCGTCCTGCGGCCGGACGGCGACACGGAGGTCGGGTTGGAGCTTTCCTTCGTCCACCTCCGGCCCGGGGGGTGGGGGGGGGGCGCACGGGGGGGGGGAGGGGCCCCTTCCCTCGAGCCTCCGGTTAGCGCGGTTGGCTTCGTACAGTGCGAAAGACGTTCAACATACACACACATATATATACCTGGGTGTGTGTGTGGGTGAGTGGGATATGTCTGTGTGGGTGAGTGGGATATACCGAGGTCTGCGTAGGTTCCCGCGGGAGGGAGGAGGAGCAATGGGAATTCTCCGGGAACGCCGCCGCCGGCTCGGACTTCCGCAGTCGGAGGAGCGCCCGGAACACGCTCGGCGCGCAGACACACGCCACTCTGCAAAGACAAAGATCCCCCGCGTGGCCTCGACAGACTGTCGGGGCAAGGGCCGCGAACGAGTTGTGGGCACCTACGGAGACCGGCACGGCGTGCGCGGCGAGGAGGCGGGTGGCCAACACCACGCCCGCGCCACCTTTGTCTCCCCTCCGCCGAGCTTTACGCGCCGCGCCAGGTGCTCGCTTGGATTCCATTTCTGCTCACGGCCAACATCGGTGGGGGATCATCTTAACCGGTCCTGGCAATCGGTACTGGGGAGACGAAGGGGGGCTGGGGCACGTTGCTGGACACCCACCCGCCCCTGTGCACCATGTCAACCTTCAAAGTTGCTACTCGCGAAATTACATCTGGTCAGGTGGATCAATTCCCGATATGGGGGGTTGACTTGATCCCATCATCCCCCCGGGGTGGATAAAAAAGAGTACCACTTTGCGGTTGCTCAAACAGCGGTTGGCCAGACTCGCACTCGCCATAGGGATGTGGAATCCCCGCCGCTGGCTCCGCAGGGCCGTACACGGGAGGTGAGCAGCAAAAGTCCTCGACGCTCATTTGAGCAGCGGATCACTTTGAACGGCACTTGCCGCCACAGCCCATGCAGGCTATTGGGGTGATCTTTGTCTTTGTGCGGTGGCCTCACCGGCCCTGGGGCCCAGCTGCTTCCACGGCCTCTCTGGCCAGCGCCGTGGCTGTCTCCTCCGTGTACCAGAACTGGCTCAGCTGCTACTCGCAGGATACACACACGGGCGCACACACACACACGGGAGTACACACACACACAGGAGCGCACACACACACACACGGGAGTACACACACACACACGGGAGTACACACACACACACACATGATTGCACACACGGGAGTACACACACACACACGGGTGTACACACACACATGGGAGCACACACACAGGAGCACACACACGGAAGCACACATACAGGAGCACACACACACACACGAGCACACACACGGGTACACACACAGGAGCACACACACGGGTACACACACACACGGGTACACATACACACAGGAGCGCACACACGGGAGCGCACATACACACGGGCGTGCGCACACACACATACGTGCACACACACACACACAAATAAACACGCACACACATGCACACAAAGACACACACGCAAGCAAATATGAATAACAGCAACAACTTCCATTCCCCAATAAGTGGGGGTGATGTCAACACAGCGCTTGTACCAGGCTAGGTGCACTTTGCGGACGTCACGTGACGTGTGCAAGGCTCCCTGCTGGCAGGTCACAGGACAGACCCAGGATAAGGGTCTGGCAAACACACACACACATGTACATGTGTACGTGCACGAGGTCACACATGTACGTGTGTACGTACGTGTGTACGTGCGCGAGGTCACACACGGGGGGGGAGTGGCCATCACCACGCCTGGCCGCCTTTGTCTCTTTAGTGACAACGTTCACGAGTCCCAGGACCGATTCAGACAATCGTCGCCGGTGTCGGCCTTGAGCGGGAATCGAACTCGGGCCGCCGGGCTTCTTCGCGCAGCGCCGGCGCTAACCGCAACACCGCCGCTCCCCACTTTACCGCCCACCGCACGCACCTCCAACACGCGGGGCTCACCCAGTTCTCGGGCGGGTCTTCGTGCTCCGCCTGGGCTCCCACATCTCCCGCCGCCTCCTTCTCTCCCTGCTCCGCGTAGAACTCTCGCAGAGCAGCGAGCGCGTGCGTCGACAGCCTGGGCTCGTCGTCATCGTCGTCATCGTCGTCTTCACTTCCCGGGATCCCGCGGCGTCTCTCCCCGTCAGCAGACTCCATCGTTGTTGATGCCTGAAGAGGAGGATCGCGCGGGAGGCCGCCAATCAGAACCTCGCGCGGTTGTCAATTTCTGGGCGGGAGATGTTAACTTCCTCGCCCGGTGTACAGGAGGTCGTGGGTTCAATCCAAACCCCTGACACCTGCTGCTGTGTATCTATCACCTGAAGACGGACGCTTGTGTTGGCGACCGAAACGACGTGTTGTTTTCTTTTATTATTTTTTTCTATCTACGCGACTTTACCAAAAGAACCGGAGAGGATGTATATTTGTAGTTTGCATGTGTCTCCCCGTGGTCGCGTGGATTTTTCTACAGGGCCGCCCTCCCGTTTTTTGCCCTCCACATTTAGAATCAACGTCACGCGTTTAGAGTGTTTGGCTGCTGCTATACATTGCCACATAAGCCACTTCGGTGAGCTACCATTTGTGATAGCCAGGTCTCTTCTGAAAAATCAAACAGAGTTTAGTTTTAGTTTCTGCTTTTTCGATCGCAACTCCCCGCCACTTTGGAATATCCTCCTCCCATCATCGCTATCATCATCGGCAACCGCGATGGCCATGAGACGATGACGATCGCACGTCCTGTGGCGAGTCCATCTCAAGGATCGCGCGTCCTGCGGCGAGTCCATCTCAAGGATCGCGCGTCCTGCGGCGAGTCCATCTCAAGGATCGTGCGTCCTGTGG